TTTGGTGGGAAATATGAAACGGAAGGAAGAAATTTATAACTTTCTTAACTCAATTGAAAATTTGTTAACAATTTCGAAACTTACTCTACAAATTGGAGATCGAAAATTTAAACATTTCAAAATAAAGGGGTATTAGAAAAAATACATTAGAAATCAAAATAAACATAATTTTTTAAGATTTATAATGAGAATTGATATCACATAAGACATATTTTTTATTATACATGAGATAATCAATTGCATATTTTTAAGACAAAATTAAATTAAATTCTTAAAAATTAGACAATTAATTTTTTCTATGCTAATTTAACGTCTGATTTAAGTTAATTATAACTTTAAATAATGATTATAACAATAGCATATCTTTAACTATATATATAACACTCTCCTCAAACTTATCTAACACTATACATATCCTTAAAAATAAATAAATAACCAGTTATTATATTATCATAATCGATACCATATTTTTTATATGGTTATAATCCATTATAGTAAGAACAAAAGATACACCAATAAAAATCCAAATATATTAATAAAAATGTTTTTAGTTAATTTGTCTTTTAATTTTTCAATGCAATAATTTTTTATCAATATTCTGTCTGTTTTTATTATTATTATTTTTTAATTCAATAATCCTTATTGTCACTCGTTTCTAATTTTGTGTTATTCTTTTGTATGATTTGACTATACTCTAATAAAAATTGTATAATTGTTTATTTAAGATGGCATAGTGAATGTTATTGTGAATTGCAAATCACTCCATTACACAAACTCTTAATTCCTTAAAAAAAAGGTTGTTAAATTTTTAAAAGCACAAACGTTTTGTTTTGAAACAAATCTCAAATAATAATAAAAAACATCTTAAAACGAGTTAGCTAAAAAGTAGTGTATAAAACATTAGTGTATAACCAAATTAAAAGTAGTGAGAAGAAACAGAGCAAAACGAAGTGCATGTTACTTAGTGGTTGGCAATAAGGGAAGGTGAGGGTGTGATTGTGAAGAAATGTGATTGATTAGATTGGAGATTAGAAAACGAGAGTGGTTAGTGTGGTGGGTTCCCCTTGCGTGCTTAAGTACACCTAATTAGCTGGCACTCACTCCTTTTGCCCAATCTTACTTTCCTTCACTTTTCCTTTTCCTCTTTTCATTTTATAAATCTCATTATTATGTCATCCATTTAGCTTAGTCTTTAACACTGTGTCATTATCATTGTTCTCCCACTTATTTCTTCCCTCTAATTATTACTTTTCTATCAATTCACTTATAACAGTTTTGCTCATTCTGAATAAATCAAGAAACAATTATTTTTACAAAAATTACCCTTTGGCTCACTTCTTCAGTCTTCGTTCCCTCAACAAAAAAAATAAATCCTGTTTTTTTTTCTTTACATTTCTCTAAAATCAATCAATCCATATATACTCATTAGTTTATTAAAGACCAACAACCCCTTATTGAGTCAAGTTTTGAGTAATTTGAGCCAATTTTGACTAAACATTGTGTCTATTGGTTTTTCTTATTTAAAAATAATATACCAGTTTTTAAAAAATATATTTATTGTTTTTCTTTTTAATAAAATAATAATTATATTCTTACTAATATTTAAAAGACACTCCGTTTTCTTATTTTTAATGAACAAACACTAAAATCTTCCTTATAACTTTAATAAAACGTCACTCATTTTCTTTATTTTACTTAATCACAATACATTAATCAAAATTTAATTAAAAATCAAGTTTTTAATAATAAATATTTATTTTTATACATAAAATTGAATGATTTAATTATTGAAATCCTAAATTCATTCCTCCTACGATTATTTTTCAAAGACATCCATGCTTTTTATTTTATTTTATAATAGACATGGACATTCCTCTTGTTAATAATGAAATAATACTCACACTTTTCATCCTATCTATATTTATACGTATATTTTTTACAACGTACTTAAAAATAATAATAATTTAATAAATTGAATTATATATTTAACAATTGTTTATTTATTTTTATATCAAAATAATATATATTTTTTTATTTTATAAGATAATATAATTTATTTAATTATTGTTAATATATAATGTTTAAATCTCTTAATATTTATTATTTTATTTTTCATTTTTAAAATTTTGAAACTTTAACTTTTAATTTTAAATTTTTATAGAGCTTTATCTAAGGTTTATTTAGTATGTTAATTTTAAATAAATTAAGTGTGATAAGTATCACTTTATTAAAAATATATTTGGGATGTTATATTATATTAAACAATTATAAGGAAATGATTTTTTTTTTTAAATGAGAGGGACTTTAGTTTTTATTTTATTAAAAAAATGAGAGGTGAATTTTATTTTAAAATTTAGAGAAAATGTTGCATATATTAGTGTATAAAATTTATGAATAATACTTATTAAAAACATGGGGTGTTATAACTATATGTAATGTATATACGTTCTTATTTGTATGTAATTAGAATAGAATTATCAAGTTTAACGATCTAACCAGGCAATTACAAATAAATAGAGAATAAATTAATCATAATTAGAATAGGATTATCATATCTACTGATCAAATCAATTTAATAAATAATATATATATTTAAAAATAAAATTTATTTAAATAAAAACTTTTAAAATTTATTTACTAAAGTGTACATCTTTACTGTTTATATAGACAAATAGATTTGTCTCACATAAAATAATTATTTCTTATTTTTTATTTTTTCATTAATTTTCTCTGTCATCATTTATTCTTATTATCCCATTTTCTCTTTTTTTGTTCTTTTCTCACTCTAATTTATTCTTCAATTAAAAGTATTAAATTAAAATTTGAGAAGGTGAGTCTTTTATTATTTCTAAAAAATAAAAATATTTAAATAATCTAAAAATACTACAATTTAATATATTATATTTGAAAAAATATGATATGATAAATTTAATATATTACAAATATTATATTTATATTATAAATATTAAGAAAAAAATTAAATATTTATTTTAAAGTAATTTTTAATAAATATTTTTTTAAATTACCTATCTAATTAATTATCATAACTCAATCTAACTATAACTAAATTAAATTACTTAGTAAAAAATACATTTAAATCATAAATATTTGATATAATTTAATTAGATGAGTAATTATTTATTATTATAATAATTTAAAATGAATTATTTATGTTATCATAAATAAAATTATTTACTATCGTAATAAATAAAAATATTTATTATTATCATATTTTAAAATAATTAATTGATGTCTTTTTAGTTTTAATGATGATTTTGAAATATATTTTTATTAAATTTTAATATAGTAGTTTAATTAGAAAGAATAAAAAAGAAATGAGAGAAAAAACAAGCGACATAAAAAAAATAGAGAGTGAATGAGAAAAAAATGTGAAAAGAAAAAAAATGCATGTAAACAATAAACATGTCTAATTAATAAATAAATTGATAAAGATTTTATTTAAATAATATTTGAAAAAATATATTATTTATAAGATTGATTCCCTACTTTACCATTGCAATATAAATGAAGGATAAATTAGTAAACTAATATGCAGCATATCACATATCATGGTTTTGAATTTCTTTTCATAAAATGCACATTCATTATATAAATATATTTTTTTTATATAAAGTGTCAGTATAAATTCAAAATATATCATTTAATTATGATTAATATTAATCATATTAATTTGTACAACCTTTTATTCCAAATAAACAACGTAAGTTTTTACTATTGGTTGCATAACATAATGTAAAGTTCAATTAAATTAACCGTTGAAACCTATAAAAAAATTCAAAAGAGTTTTTTTTTGTTAAGTTATATTTTATTTGTAATTATCATCAATCAATTTGACCAGAGATCAGAAAATACGGTATTACATATATCATTTAAAGATAAGTATAATATATTTTAAAATTTAAATTTAATATACATCTTATTTAGAAGCATTGAATATTATTTCTCAATTCATTTAATTTGTTGATATTTCAAAACTATATTACCATTAATTTAGTTAACTTCTAAAATTCAGACCTTTTTCCATTAAAATTTTTATTATTTTGTTCAATATAATCTGTCGTCCTCAATTAAAAAATAATTATCATATTCTCAAAAAATAACTATTCAACGTATTTATCGAATAAGGACCCTTTTTTCTTTATATGCACAACGGGGCTAAAAGCCCAAAATAAAAACGGGCTTGAGCCATTTAAAAATGATTTATTTATTTTTGCCTTTTTCATTATTTAATTCTTAAACATTTTTTAAATAAATAAAAAATACATGAGATAAATATATAAATTATTGTTTTTAAAGTATTTATTTTATGTTATAAAATATGTAATCTGATCTCTCTCTCTCTTTCTTTCTTTCTCTCTCTCTTTCTTTCTTTCTCTCTCTCTCTCTCTATATATATATCAACTCACCTCCTAATTAACCACAATTTCAATATTAATCGCAAATTAGCTCTTCATTGAATCACTTGTTCATTTCTACATTATTGTTTAAAAGAATTTGGGTGTTTCTTTTGCTGACATGATAGTACAATGCAGAGATACTTAATTCATAATGCCTAAGTTTTTAAAGGAGTAGCAAGGTCCAACATCAATACTCAAACGGAATCAATCATCATGTTGTAATTAAGTTGATTTAAACAACTACTGTCATCTGATAATTAATTATCTATATATTATTATATCATTCTGAACATTTTGGTACTTGTTCAGTAACAAAACCATGTTATAGACAATAGAAATATATCTCAAAATCACATTCAATAGTGATAAGGACAAAATCATGAAGTAGATAACCATTGTTCATGGTTAATTTCCTTTCCAACATTAATAAACGTGAGTTCGACATTAGAAACATAAACCATAGCTACAGTCGTAGCAGGGAAGCAATAAATTAGCAACATGTGTTAAATTTAGACTGGACATGATTATTGGAAAGTGGAAAAAGGGTTTAGTTTAGAATAATGAAATTGTGAGACATTAAGAATGGAATTGAAACACATTACTGGTAATAATGGTAATGTGAACAGAACACGAAGACAAAAGAAGATTAGTTGTTCTTGGTTGGAATTTGGCAACAGCATTGTGGATGGTTTTGTTTTGTCCAGCGTCAGGAGTGAGGAGGCGTGTAATGCACGTGTACAGGTTTTGCGACAATTGCATGGAAATGCATGTACTCTTTTGTCAGTGTATCACTGACACCTTCTACCAAACACACATGCCCGACACGATGAAAGAAAGTTTGTCAATTTGATTTAACCCACAACTTTGTCTTTCCCATTTCCCCATTATCTTCCTATTCCTATTCCTTATTCTACCACTCCCATATTCTATGTTTCATTTCTCACTCTCATTTTTGTATCCCTCTTCAATGTGTAATTCTAGTCACAATAAATATTCACATGCTGTTTTTATAATGAATATTCACTTTTTTAAAAGAAATCAATTTTAATATAAATGGAGTGGGATTTCATGTAATTGTAAATTTTGGTAGACAAGTTTGAAATAATTTAGGTAGAGAAGCCTGTGTTCCATGAGCCAAGACATGCTCATTAGTGGTGCTGCTTCTGACCACAATCAGTCATGTCATGATGGTTAGAAGCACACTGAGGAAAACGAGCAGAGAAAGTTTTATTAAAATAATTAATTTGATTCACAGTCTTAAAACTTTTCTTCTTCTTTACGTTTTCTTTTAATGCTTTCAATTTAAAAATAATAATTGAAGTTTGTGAATGATAGTAAACGTGATCCTTGCGTTTAAATACTCTAATAATTAAAAAAAAAACAATTTAAATAATTTCTTCTTTCTATTAAAATTCCTTTTCTTTTCTTCTCGTTTTAAATGAAAGAGTGGATTGTTTTTGTGCTGTTTTTTTTTTCAGAGAATAAATAATATATATATAATTAATATCACGTGTTAAAAAGAAGTGAAATGAAATATATAACCATATTTAGTATTATTTTTAAAATATTTAATAAGATGTATATTAATATGTGCTTCTTAAATGATGTGATTTGTCTCTTCTAAAATGAATCACTTCAGTGGATAAACGGTACTTATAATTGTAGATTAAAAAATTACTAATTTGTATGTGATTATGATGCCTCTAATTTATAGAATTTTAGTCTGTACATAAAAAAAAAATGCAAACTTATTATGTACTTTTATTTTTTTAATTTTTTTTAAGTAAGTTATTTTCTATGATACTTTAAATAAATATATTAGATATACAATCTTAAACAGTATTTATTTTTTCTTGCGATTTAGGTCTATTATCTTGTTTAATAATATTTTCTCGTTGTATTTTTTTAGTAAGTTCTATTTTCCTAAAAAAGAAAGAGTAGGGAATCATTATTAAGTTCAAAATATGATGTAAAATCGTATGGTAGTACCACTTTAAGCCATTGTTGAACCTTGGGTCATGCATTGACCAAAGAACAAAAGTTGAAACAATTTTTCAATCATTATCCTTGAGATTAATATTTTTCTCCTCTTTTTAAACTAAAAACCTGCATATGCTTGTATCGTGCAGGAAGAACTGACACACTCAAGTACACGATAAATGCATATTTTTTAAAAGTCCAGGTTTTGGGTTTTTTTAGTTTATCTGTCAAATTTTGTAAAAGAATACAAAATTAGCTGTCAAAGATAACACGTGGATTAACCCTACCACTAAATAAACAATAAAATATAAAATATAAAAACATTATGTTATAAAGCAAACACAAATAAATCACAATGATAATATATACATCATTTAAATATTTTTAAATTATAATTATATAAAAAACAATTTAATGGATTAATAAATATTAAATTCAACCTATTTTAAGATTAATTGGGTAGAATATTTTTAGTTTCTCTATATTTAAATCTTTTCTATATTGATTTTTTTTTTAAATTGGATCATTAAGCCGAGCATGAGTAGTATATATAGATACTCATTTGAAATCAAGAGGCCCAGAATGTGCGGAAGTTCAGACTAGCAATATAATTCAAATCCCAATCCATATAAAGCCAACAATGAATAAATAAAAAATAATAAAATAAAATGTGTTTTTAATTTAAAAATACTTTTATTTTAATTTTTTTTTCATCCGAATCCTAAATGTCTACGGCATTTTCAAATCTGATAGTCTTTAATATTTTTTAAAACAGTTTTAAGTTTATGAAATAATCTTAGAGAAGATTGAAAGGATTTGAACATGATATATTAGCAGTTTCTATTTCATTTACTATTCGATTTTAGTTAACTATTTAGTCAATATATAAGAAACATTGTATTAGAATGTTAAAAGTGTTATAGTGAATTTTTAATATTTTTCCTTATTCTACCGTATGTTTTGGTGGGAGCTTCTCTAGTTAGGATGAGATGAATCTCACGTCAAAGTAATTGTTTTATCATAAATATCAAAATATACTTTTATTAACCAGTGACATTTACGTTTCTTTTTATTGAAATATTTGAAGATAACATTAGTAAAATATATAATATAAAAAATTAATTAAAGTAGTAGTTTATATATGATTTAAAATTACAAGAGTTTAAAATTAAATAAAAATAATTCATAGATACCAAAATATATTTTAATTAATAAAATTTAATTTTATATATAGTATCACAACCAATTAATTTTTTCTTTTATACATTATGTATATTTTTATTTATTTATCAGTGTTTTATTACCTGTGTTATCTAGAAAAATATATTTATGTACATAATTGAATTTCATAATAAATTATATTATTTATAAGTTATATCATAATTATAATTTATTATTCTCTTCAATATTTTTAAATGAATTATTCTTAAAATGTTAATTGTTGTAATTATTTTCAGTCAAATTAATTTAATATTTTTTAAATAAATTATAAAAAACTAAACTTAGACACATGTTATAGTATGTTTATTATAAACACAAAATATGTTTTGTAAGTTATAAATGATTAATTATTATGAGCTTAATATAAGTATTTATATATTTAACTTATCTATTTATGATAAATTTTAGTTATATAAAAAATGAAGCATCTCTATTTTACTTAAGAAAATACTAGTAAACAAATACATTTGAACATGTAAAATATATTTTAAATTTATTACTAACGATGTGGGATAAAATTGAGTTGTTAAATTTTGTTTTTATTCTGAATATTTTTTTTAGTGTTGATCCTATCCCATCTAGATTTTGGTAGGAAGACATTGGCTTGCAAGGCCCATTCCTCTTTCTTTATCATCCAAAAGGCTGACCCACGCTAAAATCCTACCCACCTTCTCCATCAACTATCTTTTTGTTGTTGGCAACCTAACTTTTTTAAGTGTCAATGATATTTTTCACATACAAAAATAAACAAAATTTTATCTAAGAAAATTCAAATACATATAAATTTCATTCAAATTAAACACCTCTTTTATTTTAAATTTCAGGTTTAGGGATAAAAAAAGATGGAATAAGAATGCAATGGGAGTGAGATTGGTAGTTGGATAGGATTGAATGAAAGAAAAGAAATGCTATTAAGAGTTGAGAAAAGATGTAGAAGGATGATTGGGCCCCTCACCTGATTAATAGTCCACTTCATTCTGTGGGCTATTCACTTGCAAGCATGTCCTACACGTAAGCTCTCATCTCACTAACCCCAATCACCAACTAAATATAAAAATCACTTTTTGATTCCTCTTTAAAGGTGGGCTAGGACCTTAGCCAACCCTTGTGTGGTCCGTTTCCATTCCCAATTTTTATAGCAAATGGGTGGTGTGGTCTGGTCTGGTGAGATGAAGAAAAAGTATTGTAAGAAAGAGAAGAGAATTAAAAAAAAAAAAAAAGAAATAATTGAATTGAATTTCATAAATAATAATAATGGACCTCAAGAGTCCAATTTCGAAATCCAAAAGGTTTGCCCTATTTTAAATGTGTTTGAGCAAAACCTTATCTCCCGACCCTGTACGAACCACGTACCAAATACCAGAAACCCTCGAACTCGAAGGTCCAATTAGCTCCTCGGGTTCGCTTCCAGGCCCAATCTCCATCTCTCTCCGGTGAGGCCTCTTCTTTCTCTCTCCTCTCTGCAAAGCCCTAGATCTCACTCCGGTGAGGCTCAGGCCTCGCTTTCAGCTTCCGATCCGCTTTTTACACTCGCACGTTTATATATCTGGTACCTCCCAACCCTATCAATTCCATTTCTCCATTTTTTCTATTTTTCTTCTTGCCAAGCCCTTCTAATATTGTTTTTTGTCAGCCAGTTGTTTTTTCTTGTAGATATGTTTCTTATTTAGCGTTTTATGCTCTGATTTATCGATCTCGTGAGTCTATTTCAGTTTCTTGGGCAGGATTTGGCCATTTATGTGATGCAATACTTGATCTGGACTCTGTTTTTTTTTTTTTTTTTTCCCTTTGGTGTTATGTGTTATTGTTTACAGTTCTTGCAGTAGTATACCATTAGAGATCTGATGTTCCATCTTTGACTTTCGAGTTTGACCCTGTCCATGGTTTATGTGGGCTCTATGAGTTATGGTTGGTGGAGGAATATGCTACCAGCGATCTGATGAGTTTTGTTCATTTCATATTGTTCTGATTGAGCTGGGCTGATCTGACCCCAACTGTGGGGCGGTATCCCTGAGGACAGTGGTTGATTTAACCGCATGCAAGGTGTAAAGGCTCATTGACTATGTTATAAATAAAGACTTATAGGATATATGTGGACACAACCTATTGGATTTAATTATTTGAAAAAAGTACGGTGCAAAACAATAATAAGATGAAGGGTCTTCTATAAAATCTTAAACCATGATTGTGCCAGCAAAATAAGGAGGCTGGTGCAATACAGATATACTGGTCAATCCATTTTGTTGCTATTAGCAATACTGTACAATTTTCTTTTCAAACTTCACCTGCTGTCTTGTCTGCAAAATGGTTTATAATTCATTTTCAAATTTAGTTTTCCATTCCATCATGACTGCTCAATGTGAATGGATGCTATATTTCAATTAATTGATTTAAAGGAATTACTTTATTGTTTTTGTTTTGTTTTTTTAGTTCCTGTGCTTGCTTCTTTGGCTCTCCGAGATGTCACTTACGCAGACAAATGTAATGTATGATTATGTTTGTTAGTTTAATCCTGTATATTTTGTGTGGGAGTGTTGATCTCTGGTAGTTTAAATCCTGTATTATTGTATCTGTTTGAAAAACATTTCCTGGTG